CTTAAGATATATATATATATATATATATCTAGAAATCCTTTTAGAAAGTGTAGTAGCACATACAAAATTGAAGTTAAACCTCATGTTGTCACATTTAGACAAAAGGAAGTAAACTACGGCATGAAGGGTGGGGAGCATAGCATTTTTAAAGTTTTCTGCCATAGAAAGACCTCCAATGTAATATAGGACTTAAAATATAATAGGCCTAAGGAAGTAATTTTGAAATAAGGGGATTAATTTCATCGAAACCATAAAAGGAGAAATCACATTCAAATAGCAAGTGAGAGAGAGTTTCAGTGTTTCCTTGACATAAATTGCATGGTAGATCTTGAATATTAATGTTTCTATTGGAAAGAACATCAGCAGTGATCAAACCACCTTTAAGAGCCATCCAAGTGTAAACTAAGAATATGAAGGAATATTTTTTATGCTAGACCAAAGGATGCCACTTGTATGTAGTATCATTAGCAAAATAATCAAAGTAGAAATCGTTGAATTTGACATCGTCTAAGTTTTCCCAACTAATATGATTCACATTATTAAGGGATATTGAAATGTCTGTGCAAAAATTCTTAAAAGGGGGCTAACATGGATTAAAATAATTCAGACATTATGATGCATCCAATCAACAAGATGTGCATTAGAGTTGCTGGCAGTAGAAATAAAAAAAATTTAGAAATTTGTCTGTAATGGAGTCACCCAGGCACCAGTGGTCCCAATGTATTGATTCAATCATCATCAAATTGGGTTGATATGAAAATTATTTAAATAAAATTTAAATTGTAAAATAATTATAAAATAATATAATTAAAAAAAATAAATTGAACTCATACATTAATAATACCTTATATTCATTTTTTTAATATTTATTCAAATTAATCAAAATTAACTTATATAAAATTTTAAATTTAATATAAGTTATTATTAATTTATTTTATATGTTTAAATATAATTTACACATATTTTTTATATATTAAATTCATATTATAAATTTACATTTATAAATTATTTAGGTTAAATCATTTAAAAATAATGAATAAATAAATAATTTTTATAGTACATAAATAATAAATCTAGTATACATTAAATAAAAGGGATATAAAGCCAGATTTTTCAATAAAAAAATAAGAAGAATATTTCCAGCGGAGATGCGATGCACAGTAAAAAATGTCTTCTCCTTTCAGCACTTTCAAATTATGACAGATAATTTGGATTTCTTTATGCAAGATTCGCAGTTTGTAAAGATAATTGTTTACGGTTAAGATATTGTGCAATTTATAACAAATAATATTTTTTTTATCATTTCATTTAATTTTTTGTTGGAATTTTGTATAAGATAAATATCAAAATGAACTGAAAAAAAAAAAATAATTCATTTGCATGATATTTATATAATAATTATATGATAATAACTTTATATAAAAATAAAAATCAAAATCAAATTCTAATTTATGTTAAGGCTTCACTTGGAACTATTTGTTTTTTGTGTTTAAGGAAACTTCATAATTAAATTTTTTACTAAAAATTTATTTTAAAAAAATAGTAAAAAATCATCCCAATCACATTCTATATTATGTTTGCTGTTATAAGTAAATCTACAGAGTCCAAAGCACCAAAAGAATCAGAGCCCAAATGCTTAATAGATCAAATAGCCATACGCTTCCCTTTCTATGCCCTTATAACATAAAATATTTATTAATATTTGTTTTACATTAATTGTATCTTATTTTAACCTAAGGCTTGTTTTTTATTTTTTACCGATACGAATTGAGATAGAATTAGTCCTGTTCAAAGGAAAAAAAAAAAGAAGCTTATTTTTTTTTTTTATATATTATTAATGTTGAAACTCTAAACTATGGATTAGAGTTTGACGTGTACATTCTGATTGATTTCTGGACGTAGAACCGAATCCGGCCTCCACACAATAATCTCCTAAATTTGAATACGAATGGTCGAAAAACTCATCAAAATTTTACAAAAATGATGCTTGAATAATGGCAAACCTCTAAATGAATTGTCACCTTTTAGTAAAACACATTCACCATTTTTGGCACTAGAATAATAAATTTAGAATAAATTAATCAATTTAAAGATATTGAAACTCAGTGCAACAATATAAAAATCATAAAAATACTTAGTCAAATTATATGATTTATAGCCTTATCATACTACAATTTTAAAAACTAGCGTTAATAAGGCCAAAGAATGCATAAAAATCATTTTATCTTTTTCTCTTTCTTTCTTTCCTTTCTAAGTAATATGAAATATATATACACGCATTAATTGTAAAGAGAAATCAACGGTGGCTTTGCAGTTGAAGGTCGGGAAATGGCAGAGCTTAAGCAAAACAGGAAAGAAGAAGTAGAAGAAAATGAAGAAACGGAGATGCAGCAATGGGCGGCTATAGAAAGGCTTCCAACTCTTAAAAGGCTAAAGTATTCTCTGTTCAACCAAAGAATTGTGAACGTGGCTGAGCTCGGTGCTGTGGAGAGGCATCGCTTCATTGATGATCTGATCAAAAATGTTGAAGAAGATAACAGAAGACTTCTGGAGAATCTCATAGAAAGAATGAAAAAGTAAATTTTTTCTCTCGTCAAGCTTGAATATAATAAAGTTGCCAACTTTCTTTCACCACCAAATTTGCTACAAATTTATTGTTATTTTTAAAAAATTTTGCAATCAGATATGATAGTGTGGTAGGTGTAAAATAGCAGAAATCTGATTTTATTAAAATAATAATAATACCCATGACAAAATTACCTAATGGTTATAGAAGCTATTCTTATCAAAATTATGTTAGAATAGCTGTACCCAACTTTTCTCCAAACAAAAAAAAAAGAGGAGAGAACTTTAATGGAAGAAATATATATGATGGAAAATAATAGAAAGAAATAATATTATATTTTTGTTCTGCAGAGTTGACGTGAAGCTGCCAACTATTGAGATTTTATACAAGGATCTTACCGTGGAAGCTCAATGCAAGGCTGTGAAAGAACAGCAGCTACCAACTCTTTGGAACACGATCAAGGAGACGATCAAGGTAGATCCAATAAACTTTCAAAAAAAAAAACTATCAGAAACTGCAATGTAAATTTGCAATAAAATGTGGTAAAATAAAGCTGACAGAGCTCCTGGCAGGGATTTACAACAGCAATTGGAAAATCAAGCAAGGTAAATTTAAGTATAATAAAGGATGTGAGCGGGATCATCAAACCTTCAAGGTAACTAAACCAAGACTTCAGCTCATGAGAGCCCAATAGAACTTTGGTTCATGCACAGCACTGAACACTTGAAAAGCAACGTAACCAAAATTAGGAGGTAAACTGAAAAATAGCTCAATCAATCCTGTAAGAAAGAGTAGATAACAATTTGGTTAGATCAAATCAACCAAAATTAAACAGTTTAAAAATTTTATAAATATGTAGAAAAAATAGTTATATGGAAGAGTTGCATCACCTGCAGGCTTTTTTAAATTATGCTTTTACTTGAAATTGTGAGCTTCTGTTTAGAGGTTTCCAAATTGGGGTATGAATAAAATCAAGTTTAAATTTGATGGCTATTTGAAATTAAATTGAACCCATTTGCATTCACCAACATATTAATTTTTCAGCCTCTGAACAATTTTCTATGCTTATTTTCTTTTATTTGCCCCAATCTCTTTATTCATAGTTTCAACGCATCTTTTACTGGGATCTCCAAATAGCTTGTTTACTTTCTAAATTAGCATTTCAAATAGTACTTCTAAAAGAAGGAAGTCATAATATTTTTAATAACATAGAAAAACATTTTCACAAGATGCTCTACAACCAAAACAGAGCTATGTGCCAGGTAAATGGGTCATATTTCAAATAGATTGATGTAATAAGAAAAATGATTTTCAAGCATGGATGACAACACCAGCATTCCAAAATTTGTTTCCACATCACAAAGACAAAAATATAATAAAAAATTAACAACTAAATGTCATAATAGTTTATTCCAATCAGAAATGGGCAACTGATAACTATGAAATCTACAAATCTCTTCTAATTAGTTTAGTTTCTCGTAATTCAACTAGACACTCTATCATGAACACAGTCTTTTCACAAGTACATAATTCAGAGTCAAGACATATCAGTTCTTTATCAAACTTCATATTTCATCTATCACAATAGTACAAATCTATAAGGAGATAATAGAATTTGCCAAATTTCAGGATGACGCTTTTGCTTGGACCTCCAGGATGTGGAAAAACAACATTGTTGTTATCTCTAGCAGGGAAAGCTAACCAATCTCTCAAGGTTAGTAAGTTCGATTATAATTTACTAAAACATAGCATTTAAGATTTAAATTCATGATTTTGACAGGTCAAAAGATATTTTTAGGAAACTAAAAAACAATGAAATGAAATATTACAAATTTACAAAGGAATGGATTACAAAATTTGAGAAACTAGGTGAAGATAAAGGAAACGGCAAAAGTAGAGAGTAATATAAGAAATATTTTCATTTAATCCGTGGAAAGCAGGGATTTTAATCCCAAAATTTTCATAAGGATTTAATCTCCAGGTTTTAATATCCAGCAAGCTAGAGAATCGATATTCATTATCCTCAGCTTGTCGATAAGTATTTTAAAATCAATCAAGAATTCCCCTTCGTTAGCATATCCACCACTTGCTGCTTTGTAGGGCATAGATCATACAAATAACCTCTTCTGCGATCTTCTCTTTCAACGATCTTCCTTTGAACAAATGTGATTCGCTTCAACGGGTTTTGCACAAACATGATGAACAAGAATGCGTACAATCTGGTTGTTACTTTGTCGTCATAGAATAGCTTCATTAGATGCATACTTTATACTTTTAATTCTTCCATTAACCTTTTTAGCCAAATCATTTCATATGTATTTCGAGTAAATGCTTTAAACTTACCTCTACAATATTGCGAGCAACAACCAGTTGCTTCTTGCTCTCCAAGTGATAAAATTTCCCAATATTATAGTCCAGCAGCCTAATGTGGACCTCCTATCATTAATAAATATTTCCTGATTTATATCTACAAACATCTCAATACTCTTTTTGTTCAATTTATCATAAAATAACTTTTTGTCCTGGGTAGTTTTCTGAGTATTCACAATCTTATACAAAATCTTCAGATGTTCTTCAGATGAAGAATACATATATTGACTTACTAGGCTGACAATAAAATAAATATCTAGCATTTTATAATATAAGTATCAACTACCCAAACAATCTCCAATATCCCCTTATATACTAGAACTCCATCTTCTGTCCTACACTTAGAGTTTAACTCGACAGGTATGTGGCACCAATTGGCAGCATAAAGAAAGCTGTTGGTCGGGGCGAATCAGAAAAGACTCCTAAGTAATACATTCATAACGCAGCAGTCATGGTAATTTTTTGCATGGGGGAGACCTGAGCTCAGATCTATTAGAAAAGCAAAGAAGAAAACAGCTCTCCCTGAATTATTTCATTTATACGCTCAAGGCTAATTTAATACAACAATAGTGACAAAAAAGACAACCTTATTTCTAGAAGAGTCACAACTAGAAACCACTAAAAAATAGGAAAACAAAATAACATGAAACAAAATAGGAAGGATCCTCATTTAAGCCCAACAAATGGATTTTAATCCTGCATTTTCACAGGGATTTAATTCCCACATTTTTGACAAACACATGTAAAATTCACCCTCAAATCTTCAAGTTTAAAAATTTATTTCTTTCCTTTTTTTTGTGGCTAACTTATAATCTCATCTGATTCCTTTTATAAAAATTAAGCATCAATCTCAAATAGTTAAGGAAAATGATGACGTTAACCCTAAATACATATAATCCTGGAAATATAAAGTTTAACTAAACATTATTAAACACAATGATAATAGACAAGTAACCTGTTAAACAAAAGACAAATTAGTCGTTCAATTCCAGAGAAGTTGCATCATCAAATATGTAACATAGACTTTTTTTTTTTTTTGAAATAATCAACAATGCAGGTAACAGGGGAGATTACTTACAATGGTTCTAAACTAGATGAAATGAACCCAGAAAAAACCTCAGCTTACATCAGTCAATATGACTTGCATATTCCTCAAATGACTGTAAGGGAAACTCTGGACTTTTCAGCAAGATGTCAAGGAATAGGAGACAGAGCAGGTAATGGCATCATAGCTTTACAGCACTTCAAAACTTAAGTTTTACTGAAGAACTTCTACAAAATTTGTATGAAACTGATCCCACTAAGCTGTTTCGCTGTGGATAAGGTATCATGGAAGAAGTGGTAAGAAGAGAGAAGCAGGCTGGTATTGTTCCAGATCTCATGATAGACACCTACATGAAGGTAGGTAGAACATTTTGTTATAAACTAAAGCAAACATCGATTAAAATAGAAACTGTAAATCAAAGTTAATTTTAACATAGAACAGTGAGCGGCAGAATAAAAAAATTAATGCACAACATTGGACAAATGAATTTAAAAATAGACAAATATACAAGCCCTAACTACATAAAAAGTGTTTCCCTCAACAAATTCAATTTCACCTAACAAACAAACTTTTCAATGCTAAACTTGACAAACACATCTCTTTGAATTTGCATTAAGAAGTGATGGTTGATGTTTTTTTTATTTTGGGGGGGGGGATAATATTTTTATAGTAAAAGCCGCTTTATTCATTGAAACTACTGCTGTTTTCATAATACACAAGCTTTAATGTTGTAGGCAATTTCATCCGAGGGATTACAAACAAGCCTACAAACAGACTACATGTTGAAGGTAACCCAAAAAAACCAGAACTAATGTCCTTGTGATCTTTAAATAGCTCCACATCATCTACTCATTTTAATATCTATGCTTATTTCCTAGGAAATATCTAATTTTAAAATAAACATTTATGTACTCCACCAATGTAAACTGGTGGTTTTGCCCTTAACACTTGAGAGAGGTGGGCATTTCAAATCTTCTCAGTATGTTTTTGTTTCAATCAATTATGTTGAAATGCAGATTCTTAATCTCGAGACCTGCTCAGAAACAATGGTTGGAGATGCTATGAGGAGGGGTATTTCTGGTGGTCAGAAAAAAAGATTAACAATAGGTTCAATCGCTGATCTTACCAACCTTTGCTTACAAATTGCATTACTACAAAAAATGGTTTTCGTAGTAACCGTGAGTCAACATAAATGCATGAATTAAGAAACCTACACAGTAATTTAGTTATATTTGTTTCATTTCTATGGATTACAACTGCTAGAGCCCGAGTAAGAAGTAATTTTATACTTCAGGCGAGATGATGATTGGGCCAGCTCGAGCATTTTTCATGGACGAAATATCAAATGGCTTGGACAGTTCCACAACATATCAGATAATTTCTTGCATCCAGCAATCTGTCCATATCACAGCGGCAACTACTTTAATTTCTCTTCTTCAACCTGCACCAGAGACTTTTGATCTTTTTGATGACATTATTTTGATGGCAGAAGGGAAAATAATATACCATGGACCACGCGAACGAGTACTCGGTTTCTTTGAGGATTGTGGTTTCAGATGTCCGCACAGAAAAGGAATCGCTGACTTCCTTCAAGAGGTATACAAAGCTTGATTACGAATACAGTCCTGAAAACCCTAGCTACAATTTACTTTGGCTTGCTGCAGATCATTTCAGAAAAAGATCAAGCACAATATTGGTACAACAAAGAAACGGCTTACAGTTTCATCAATGCAAATGAATTCTCAGAGAAATTCAAGTCCAGCAGTGTTGGAAAGGAGTTACAAAAAGAACTTTCAAAAAAATATGACAAACGGCATTCAGATGCAAATTCTATAGCGCTTAGCACAAGTTCTACAACAAAATGGGAATTGCTCAAAACTTGCATGGCCAGAGAATATCTACTCATGAAGAGGAATTCATTTGTTCACATGTTTAAAATAGGGCAGGTAGTTTTTTGACATATTTCAACATCAATTAACATATGAGGATGCCAGAAAGTTAATAATCACTATTCTTTCTTCAGCTGATAATTGTTGCTCTTGTAACTATCACCGTCTTTATACGCACACAAATGGCTGTCGATATAGTACATTCAAGTTACTATGTTGGTTCGCTGCGTTACACCATTATCAGGCTTATGACTAATGGAATTGCAGAATTGACATTATCTATTGTTAGTTTACCAGTCCTTTACAAACAAAGAGATTTTCACTTCTACCCGGCATGGGCATATGCAATACCAGCCACTGTCCTAAAGATACCTTTTTCTCTGGTGGAATCTTTCATCTGGACAGGACTAACTTATTATATTATTGGATACAGTCCTGAAATAGAAAGGTAGCTGTTCAGTTTGTTATTTCATAATAGCTTGTTAACTAAATGAATCCTATGCTCCTAATTTCCTCCATGAAAATGCTTGACAGGTTCCTCTATCATTTCCTTCTACTCTTTGTGCTGCATCAAACATCAACATCCATGTTTCGTTTTCTAGCCTCAATTACGAGAATACACCATAAAGCATCGTGTTCAGGCTCTCTGGCATTAGTGACATCATTTATGTTCGGGGGATACATTCTTCCACAATGTAATTTTATGGATAGAACTTTCCTTGTGAATTAAAGCTCATTTGGTAACCATATCAAGGAGCTAAAAATAAAATGCTGACTCTTAGTTTAGAATAATGTAGGCTCGGAAAAATGTATAGCTTAGCTATGGAAAAATGGGTTGGACACCATTTTTTCAGAGCTATGATATGAGTCACAAATTGGCTTACAAATTGGTTCCAAACAAATCCTAAGTATAACCTTTCATATGAATTTAATAAACTTTCGTTGCAGCCTCATTTCCAACATGGTTACAGTGGGCTTTTTGGCTCTCACCAGCAACGTATGCAGAAATAGGGTTATCTATTAATGAATTTCAGGCACCAAGATGGCAAAAGGTTAGTTATCTCCTAGTAAAGGCATCATTCCTTCTAACAGTTAGAGCTCTTTTTTTAATCATTTTAATCCTAAACTAATTTTATTTACAGTTGTTGCCAGAAAATGTGACACTTGGGCAGCTGGTCTTGAAGAGTCAAGGACTAAACTACAAAAGATCATTCTGCTGGCTATCAATAGGAGCCTTGTGCTTTTTGACACTACTTTATGACTTTTGCTATACTATAGCACTGACTTGCTTAAATAGTACGTTATATTTCTATAACTTTATTCTGTTATGGCTGTCAATAAAACTGGAAACTGAAACCTCTTGCTATTTAGATCCAGGAACTTCTAAAACTATCATATCAAATCAACAGCTTAGTTCACAGAGGGATGGAAAAGGCTCTGACTTCTGTAGAAATTTAGAACGCAAGACAGCTAAGAGTTCTGCACCAGGTGTTAGACAAATAAAAGGTGATAACCAAAGAAAGCCATTTTTTGTCCATTTATTTCTCCGAATTTCCCACAGACAATACTATAACTGACCATATATATAATTAATGGTAAAATTTAAATCAAGAAATTTTGAAAAAGTATGACCTCTAATCGCAACAGTGCCTATTTCTGCTTGCAGGAAAGATGATCATACCATTCAAGCCATTAACTATGACGTTTCAAAATGTAAATTACTACATTGATGCGCCTAAGGTATATCTAATCTTTCATTAACTTTTTCTATGGTGCCTCCACGGAACTAACAAACTCAAATAGTTAAGGGCGTAAAGATAATAAAGATAAGGAATATGCCTTCTGTTGGTCATTCAGTCACTGTTGTATAACAGGAAATGATAGAACGTGGATTTTCAAACAAAAGGCTGCAACTTCTAGAAAATATTACAGGTGCATTAAGGCCTGGTATCCTTACAGCTCTAATGGGAATCAGTGGAGCTGGGAAAACAACCTTAATGGATGTTCTTTGTGGAAGAAAAACAAGTGGCGTTATTGAAGGAGACATAAGAATTGAGGGATACCCTAAAATACAAAAGACATTTGCTAGGGTATCAGGCTACTGTGAACAAAATGACATACACTCTCCACAAATTACCATTGCAGAGTCAGTTATGTTTTCAGATTTGTTAAGACTCCCGCCAGAGGTAGATCGAGAAACTAAAACTGTAAGGCACTCTACTCATTGTGCTAATAATAACATATAATAAAGCATGCATTTTAGAAGGTTTTTTTAAGTACTTAATAAACATATGTAAGTTTAGATATACCATCCAACCCTGCAAACACAATTGCTATTCACCATATACTATAACCACGATGGTCATATCTAATGTGTGTAGTTTCAAAGAAATGCATTCCTCGTTATACTTTGCCACATATAAAACAACATTGTGATATAAATGCTGCTAACTAAAATTTGATCTCATATTTCCATCTTTGCTTCAAAAAATTCTCTCATGCCTTAACAAAATTCAGAGTTTTTTGCTCCACAGGACTTTGTTGAATTTGTCCTTGAAACAGTTGAGCTTGAGAAAATACGAGATGAATTAGTTGGAATTCCAAACATAAGTGGTTTATCCACAGAACAAAGGAAACGGCTAACAATTGCTGTGGAACTAGTAACAAATCCATCTATTATATTTATGGATGAACCTACATCAGGTCTGGATGCAAGAGCAGCAGCTACTGTCATGCGTGCAGTCAAAAATATCATCAACATGGGAAGAACAGCGGTTTGTACAATCCACCAACCAAGTATTGACATATTCGAGTCATTTGATGAGGTAATGAATATCCTATAAGGAAAAACATTATAAATATTCAAAGCTGGAGTACTAACATAGCATTTCAAAAACATATTAGCTTGAGAAATATCTATTCCTACACAGAAGAAAGCTATCCCCCTGGTGTCAACATATATATAAAAGCACAATTTGAATAACTGAAAGAAGACCACTATGGACTAGAGCCAAATAAGTGCAACAAAATTAATACGCTGCTTCCAGGAAATAGGAAAAAGTTGAAGCAACATTTATGACAATCACAGATTTCTTAAAGACTTATGTAGTTAAATGCGTAATAATATACCTTTTTTGACACAGGAACTGATATTGCATGCTGAAAATGTTAAGATAATAGCAAAGACCAACAACACAATCAATAAGCCAAACACAAACAAATATACAAACACAAGCACAACAATCTTTGTGATTCAGTAAGATCCAGTTAAAACAAAGTTGCACAAAAATCAAATAATCCCCTAAGCTATAAAAGGGGCATATAAAGATATCACACTTCATACAAAATTAGAGATAAAGATAGAGATACCACTTTTTCTATGTTAATGGTTGAGAGAATGCAACCATCTGCTACCAAGACGAGAGATTGAAGAGAAGATGTTGTTCATGCTACAATTGTTCTTTCTTTACTACAAGAATCCAAACAAGAACTTCTACCTATTATGAATAAAAACTTATCTTATTAGAAACGGAAAAAAAAAAAAAATCTCTTCTTTCCTAAGTCAAAAAAACCTTCTACGAGCACCTAAAAAAACTCTTGATGCCCTTCTTTCTCGATAATAGCCTCACTCTCTCTTCTCTCTCTTATCTTTATTTGCTTGTTTTGGGATGTCAAGCCCGTCCACTTAAGCCTTTATTTATAATGGTAAACAATCAACCTAAAATAAATTACAAGATCTTCATAGCCCAAAAAATATAAAAAGATCATCTTAGCCCTTAAAAAATATCCTCTTTAAATTAGATATAGCACCAAATCAAGTAAAAAATATAATAGAAGATTGCTCAAATAGTCAGTTGTACATTTTTGGTAGTGTAATATCTACTTGACAACCTCCCAGTTGTCGTTTCATGGGCTGGACATGTATATGCAAAATGAATCCACTGCTTATATAATGTCCAGTCTTCTGCAAATCATTGCATTGACAAGTCTTCCAATGGTTGAGGCAAAAGGCATACTTAGTCTTTGTCTATCATATTAAGCCTATCTATGGACCTTATGCAGAGGTCAACAACTCCATGCCATGTATTTTCTATGAACCTTTGTTGATTTCTCCTTACCTATAACATATTCTATTTATTTGTTACTATTTGATAAAAAACCATAATCTACATTGCACATGCCTTCCTAAAACTAAGGTGAGACGTGCCTCAAATATTGTGAGGTGTACGCCTCACATAAATGTCATGAGGCATGCACCACAAGGCTATTTTTTAGAAAAAGTATGGAGGTGTGCCTTGAATTACATAATTTCAAATAATGGAGTGATTAAACAAGAGTAAAAAGGAATGCGGGTAAATGTTGAGAGCAAGATGTGTAAGTGAAGCATAGGGGTTGTCAAATGGGTAAGTGCGAGTGACAAGTGAGCGAAATATAGCAATAGAGGAGCAAGGAAAGGGCTTATTGTACAAGAATTGGACACATGAAATAGGCTAGAAAGAATGTAGTGAGGGTGGAGGGCATAGAAGAGAGGATTAGACATGCAGTGTGTGGGAAGTGCAAGAGAGAACAAGGATCAAGCTTAAAGGCTTTTGACAAAATGAGGGAAAGTGCTGGGGGGGATATGTAGTGGTGGCTAGGGAAAAGATTAGCCAATTTCCAATAATAAGTTAAGAGGGTAAAGAGCTTAATTAATTTCATAGTAAAATCAGTGCCTATACATAGGATAATGCAAACAATAGAATGGGAAAGAATTTACAATGGAATATTCTATAAAAAAATAAATGATATTTTCTAATTACTAAATTTACAATATATAAATCTCTATGATAATAATTGTTATACTCATTAAACAAGCTCAACTAGAATCCTCATCCCTCCTTAAAACTCTATAATGAAAACAATTGAATATTTGAAAGTCAAAGTTATGAAATTATTTTAGGAAAGCATTTTAGAAATAAAAAAAGAGATAAATTGTGATCTTCTCCTATGATTCTATTTTTATTTTAGGAAAGTTGTTTTAGGAATAAAAAGAAGAGATCGATTCTGATCTTCTCATATAATTCTATTTTCTAATTTTTAGGAAAGGATTATTCTCCTATGATTCGATTTTCTGAATTATAGAAAAGAATTAAGCTAATTAGTTATTTCCTTTATGAACATTTTTTTAGTATATATATGCAGATGAAGTACTTATTTTAATAAGAAGAATAATCAATTAAGAAATTCTTCATGATAACAGAACTAGTTTTTTGAACCCTATTTCCTTTAGGCCGCCTCTCTCTAACAGATTCTTTCAGGTCATCTCTTCTATGTTTCTCATGCCGATTCTCTTTGGTCAGTGTTCATCCCGGCATTCTTCTTCTTTATTTCTAGTAATCTTTTTCGTTCTTTCCCCTTATCCTCTTCTTTGCAATACGGAATGACCTCATCAAAAACATTCGGCATCATGACACCACAATCAAGAAGCAGTTTAGAAATTTTAAACCTAGGAGGAAGTGATTCTTCTCCTATTTTCATAACATGATACAAATTAAATTGATGCAGGACTACTTAGATGACATGCTTATGGATGC